TTCTTTTTCTTTCTTTCTTTCTTTCTCTCTCTCTCTCTCTCTCTCTCTCTCTCTCTCTCTCTCTTTCTCCCTCTGCTTCTCTCTTTCCTTTTCCCTCTCCTTCTCCTTCTCCCCCCCCCTCTTGCTCTTTTCCCCCTCCCATCCCCCTCCCCCTCAATCTCCCTCTCTCTCCCCTTCGCTCCTATTGCCCTCTCCCTCTCCCTCTCCTTCTTTTCCTCTCTCTCTCTCCCTCTCCCTCTCTCTCCCTCTCCCTCTCCCCCCCCTCTGTTCACACAAAGTCCGTCTTTTGAAAAGTTCAATTCTTAATTTTCATTTACGTCGCGCTTACATTAACTCCATCTCCCTTCCTTAAAAATCCGGAAAGGTTAGTTAAGTGATCATTACCCATCCAGGGAAAAAAACTTATTTATCATTAGTAAGTCTTACTTTTTTTTTTTTTTTTTTTTTTTTTACTTATCTCCTGATATCCCTTTCAACATTTACGATCATCGACATCAACATTTCTTATTCAGTTTCATTCCTCGTCCCTCATACTTGTCTAGCTTCGTTCTTCGCGCCTCATACTCAGCTGGTTTTATGCTCCGTGCCACATACTCGTCCAACCTTACCCTAAAGCCCTTATACTTCCTCCAGCCTTACCCTAAAGCCCTCATACTCCTTCAGCCTTACCCTAAACCCCTCATACTCCTCCAGCCTTACCCTAAACCCCTCATACTCGTCCAGCCTTACCCTAAACCCCTCATACTCGTCCAGCCTTACCCTAAAGCCCTTATACTCGTCTAGCTTTACCCTAAAGCCCTTATACTCGTCTAGCCTTACCCTGAAGCCCTTATACTCGTCTGGCCTTACCCTAAAGCCCTTATACTCGTCTAGCCCTACCTTAAACCCTTCATACTCGTCCAGCCTTATCCTAAACCCCTCATACTCGCCACAAACCACGACCTCATCACCATAGATCTCTCCCTATGTCGGCGGCAATCTGGTGGATGTGGCTGACACTGTTTGCTGAGATCCGTCGGAGATTCGACTGAATATTCATGAATCTTTTCATCCTCGGGACATTTTTTTTTGGTCTTTTGGTCGTTTTTTGCAGAACTTTGTAATATGTCCAATTGTGTGTATATAAACTTGCATGTATGTATGTATGAATATGTGTGTGTGTGTAGATATACGTATACGTATACGTATACATATACGTATACGTAAGAGAAAGAGAAAGAGAAAGAGAGAAACAGACAAACAGACAGACAGAGATAGAGCCAGAAACCGAGAAAGAGAGACATAGCGAGAGACAGAGAGAAAGAGAGAGAGAGGGAGAGAAAGAGAGAGAGAGAGAGAGAGAGAGAGAGAGAGAGAGAGAGAGAGAGAGAGAGAGAGAGGGAGAGAGAGAAAGAGAAAGAAAGAGAGAAAGAGAAAGAGAAAGAGAAAGAAAGAGAAAGAGAGACAGAAGCAAGAGACAGAGAAAAAAAAAATCAACCTCTACCCCATATCCCGTAGAATTAATCCGCAGCGAAACCTCAGCTGCAGGACAACAGCACAAGACCCAAAAGCTACGTCAATCTCACGCCAACACTTATTTAAGAAAAACTTTAAACGCCCCTTGGCTGAAGTTTAGGGCTCCTTCGGCATAATTAATCAGGCGGTTTTCTCCCTGTCTCCATCGGTCTTTTTCTCATTCATTGTCCCTCTCTCGTTTTTATTTATTTATTTTTTGTTGTTGTCCTTCTTGTATCTTTTTTTTCTGTTTCTGTTTTGTTTGGATGTCTGTTTCTCTCTCTTGCTTTCTCTTTCTTTTTCTTTCTTTCTCTCTCTCTCTCTCTCTCTCTCTTTCTCTCTCTCTCTCTCTTCCTCTTTCTCTCTCTCTTCCTCTCCTTCTCTTCCTATTCCCCTCCTTCTCCCTCTCCTCTTTCTCCTTCTACCTCACCTTGTCCCTCCCCCCCTCCCTCTAGTTCTTTTAATCTATTTCTCTTACGCCCCCCCTCCCCCTCCCCCCCTCTGTCTCTCTCATGCAAAGGGGCAATAAAGTGACAAAATGACCAATCGTGATTTTCCAATTCTCGCTTCCGAAGTTTACAAAATATAAGTTTCGTGAATTCCAGTCTATTTTGTGTCATGATTATCGATCTATTTATTCTCACACTACTTCTGTTTTTCTTAATTTGTTTATTTTATTTATTTTTATCTATTCATTTTTTTAAAATTTATTATTCCCTTTTTTTGTCATCCTGTGAAAATCCATCTACAAAAGGAACTAGCTGGCAACTGTGCTGAGTCAGGCTCTTCTGATCTCTCTCGGTCCTTCTTATGCTCTTGGCCTCTCTCTCTCTTCCTCTTTCTCTTTCTCTCTCCCTCTCTCTCTCCCTCCCTTTTTCTTTTTCTCTTTCTTTCTTTCTTTCTCTCTATCTCTCTATCTTACCTCCCTATCTTTCTCTATCTCTCTCTCTTACCTCCCTATCTTTCTCTATCTCTCTCTCTTACCTCCCTATCTTTCTCTATCTCTCTCTCTTACCTCCCTCTCTTTCTCTCTCTCCCTCTACCTCTCTCTTATTTCCCTTCTTTTCTACCTATTTCTCTTCCTTGTTTTTCTCTCTATTTTTTCCTGATTTTCTTCCTCTCGTTTTCCCTTCCTTTCTCCTAATCTCTCCCTTCTCCTTCGTCCTATCTTACCCCTGACTCGTGGCCCTGAACTTTACCCCTACCCCCCCTCTTTATCTTTTTCTTCCTTTCTCCCCAATCTCTCTCTCTTCTCATCCACCTTGTCTTTCCCTTGCCTTTCTATTTTTTTCATTTTCTTTTTCTACTAATGTTCTTTTTTCTTTCTCTCTTCATTTCTC